TATTTTATATCATAGAAATATTAATTTTCAGTTTTATTCTGCTAAACAGAACAAATAAGAATAATAACAGCAATTTATTTATTTTAGTTAAATCGCGAATGGACTCAAATTGTGAATTACGATCATTACGATTTTGTATTGGTTTAATTTCTTTACATGCTACAATTTTAAATTGTATATCACCAAAATACATATATAATTATTTCACCGCATAAAGTAATATACTTGTACTTTCTAAGTTAAAATTAAGATTAACCAAAAGAAACGCAAATTGAATTTATTTTCTACGTAATATAATAAATTTGATAGACGATTATAAAAACTTGTAGTAGCATCTGGCAATAAATCTCTTTCATTTATTCTGTTTCTTAAAACGACGTTTTTGTATTGCTTAATTTTGAACGAACATAAACTTTTAAATGCAAAACTTTGGAAGTGATGTAAAATTATTCTAAGCTTTTATGTAGGTATATACCTACTTGAATTAAGTATATAAAGAATCGACTTACTATTTATTTTTGATAGCGAAATATATAACGTTCTTAGATGTTAAATATATGCCAATTTAAACCAAAATAAAGTACTAACAATACGTATAATCTACCACTTTCAGATACGCCAAATGATTTTTAGGATAATTTTATGTCATACCCAAACAGAGGTGAGATAAATATAAAGGGACGGTTTGAATACAACAGAGTATTGTTTTATCCATTAAGTTCTGTCTCGTTATTATTTGTCTTCCTAAATGTCGACTATTAGTCTCCGTTTCATTATCAGATAATGAATAGTTCTTTGAGATCCAAAGATTTCACACAAAAGAAAATTCCAAGAAGCGATTCATCACTAAATGGTAAATATTATCGTTTCCACAACTCTCTCCTTTTACTCAATTAATAAATATACATTAAAATTTATTTTTTCAGTGTTAATGTCTTGATTTATATTATGTTGAATTAGTATTGACGAAACGAACAAGATTCAAAAATATATATTTTTTAAATTATTAAAAATGATGTTACTAGTTACTTTATTCAGTAAATTTTATATATGTATATTACTAGAGGTTATTGGTAATAGAAACGTTTTCATATTAACATTTAAATATAAACAACAACAACAACAATTAACATTTAAATAAACAAAAAACGACTTAAATATTGTCTCACAGGACAATACCAACTGCTTCTAGGAATTTGCAAAATTTCATGCTAATATATTATTGTATGATTTCAGTGTAGATTTAAAAGCATTATATTTTATCTACTTGCCCATTTTATTTCATAAAAAAGGCATTTGTATGAAATTGTTTAGTAACTGAAAGAATTAATTAAATTTTTAGAGGTGGTAGAGCCTAGCTGTGGTGAGTTACTGCAGCTCGAACATGGGCTGGCTCGACCGGGGAAGTACCACCCTCTCACAGAAGATTCCCTCCCCTCCCTATCGCCAAAAAACAAGGTTGGCAACGCATCCGCAACAAAATGTTGTGGATGTCCATGGGCGACGGTAACCACTTTCCATCAAGTGGGCCGTCTGCTCGTTTGCCACCTTTAACATAAAAAAAAAAAATCTAAAGGATATTAATTTCAGATTTTATACTATTTAGTGTACCTCAAATTGTTTGTTAAATTTTGTTGCATTTATAAATATTTTAGTTATTTCGTCATTAATTAAATTTTTTTTTATCATCTGCTTTTCAACAAAAGCAGACATAATATGAAATCGAAATTAAAACGCTTTGAAGACTAATGTTGATTTTGAGAAACTTCTTTTTTATATATCAAATAAAGGCCATAAATTTAAATAGAAACTTAACCATTACATTACCATAAAATAATATTTCTGTTAAAATATACAAATCTTTTATAAACAATAAAAAGCTACGGTGGCTCTTTTGAAAACAAAACCTTTATTGCTAGCTTCGTTGTAGTTCACTTGTGCACGGAAAATGTTTTAGTATTACTCTTCTTTTAAGTATCCTTTTTAACAGTTCAATTAAAAATTCCATTTCATCTGCCACCATGAGAACAAATATTTTTGATACATAAATTTCAGTTTATAAATTTCGAAATCATTTTCTTTAATATTTAGTAACCTGAAACAAAGTAAAATTCAGTAACATTTTTCTGATATATGTTAATTGTATCAACTGTCGTATTAAATTAAATATTGATATTCAATGTTTTACTGAAATAAATACAAATTACTAAAAAAAAAAATTAAATTTTAACTTTAAAAGTATCATCAATACAATTATAAGGCACTTAATAATATTGGTTTTCGAAATTATTAAAAAATAATAATTGCTCATGAAAATAAAACAATCTATGAAGATCTTTTGCTTTATGCAACAACAAAGTATTCTTAATAATACTATAAATTAATCACACTTTCTTTGACCAGCAAAAAGTCCGAGTTTAATTATATCATACAAATCATTCTCGAGGGTTCAACACACATATAAAGAGTACATTTGGTCAAACAAAATGGCCGTTCTCTTGGAGCCACTCGACCCAAGGCCTCAGATAATTTACTACTCTCCCCAAGGGCGCCAACATATTTTGATATAATAAGCGAGTCTTCCATATGTACGTTCATAATGCTATATTTATGTAACTTAATCTAGTTACACACGACATAATCAACTATCTTCCTTATTAATCTCATTTTTATAGTCTGCCTCTCCATGTTATATCATCTCTATACACCTCTTCATTTATAAACACCACATAGTGTATGTGGGTTTAAATATATAAGTTAAAATCAGTACATAAGTGAATGTTATTTTTATAAGATACACAAAGTGTTCATTATAATAAAGCAATTAGGCGAGGATTGAAACCAAAAATGCTTTACATCATTTTGGAAAAGTGATAATGCACACACACACACACACTGACGCACGCACCCACACACGCACACACACACATTATGTTCACATTATTTACTATACTATAAAGAATTCAGTTCTTCACGAACTAAACATTGTATAATGGATAACACTACACTCACTACTTCCTTCTTATCTAAAAAATATGTATCTTTGTATTAATATAAATGGGTAGTTAATATTCATGATTACTGAACTCTCGTCAGAGAATATTTCTTTCCAAAAAGTAACAAACTGATATTTTTCACCTTAATTCTATTCCGCCTTCCTCTTATCTCGTATGAAAATGTTTCAGAATATTTAATCCCATAAAAAAGCTATAACATTAAGGCATTGAAACAAAAATTCATCGATAATGGAAAGTGGATTACCTCAATCGAGTTTCAATAAAAGATAATCTTCACATTTATTCGTTCTTTAGTATTGAAAAGTACATTCTAATGGATAAAATAATACTTAGAAATAATTATTACAACTTTAATTCAATTGTTTTTAATATTGTACTTATTTTTGTGATTTCTTACTGAAGATATAGGCCAGAGTAGAAGGCTTTAAAATAAATGAAAAGTAAAAAAAAATATAATAGAATGAAACCCATTACAAAAAGAGAGGAATATTATAAAAATTAAAGGAAAAATAATTTACGGGCGATCTGAGGTTGGGATGGGTATAGGGGTGGGTATTTAAGGGTAAAACATGGGTTTCCCTAGATTTCGGGCAAAACTAAAAGTCCTACTGAAAAAGTTATATGGCAATGTTGTAAGTAATAAAAAGAACTAAAACTTTTGTATTTACATATTTTTCACATAACTCAAAATTATATGTGTATATATGTAATATACATATTCGTGTCAATCTTATAGTACTTAGTGAAATTCTAGGAGATAGTGTAATGTGAAGTCCTAGTTTGAATGATTTCATATTACTATGAGACCAGTGTCGACTTTTAAAACAGACTTAAATTATAGTAGGATAACACCCATTACAAAAGGAAGGGAATATTGATAATACTTGTTATATATTTAAAAAAGGTAGTTATTTGCGTATCAGTTGAAAGTATACTTAATTCGAATATAAATCAATATTAATTGCTATTTGCCAGTTAAATTACAATAACTAAGATACACTTAAATTAATTATTGAAATGGAAATAGAAAGGTGCATTAAAAAATAAGAATAATTTCGAATATATTTAAAATTCAAAAAATAGAATAGAATAAGATAAGTGATATCAAAACCATTTTCAATCTCAGAATTTAATAACATTATTTATTTAATATCAGTTTCAGAGACAAACAAACATCACAACAGCTGAACTTTGTCCTCATAAATATAATTAGGTACATAACACTGTCGACATAATTAAGGAACTTACAAAGACTTTTGTATGTTAATATACATTTACTAGAGCGGTTTCACGTCTCTTAAGTAAATTACAGTGCTTGTACAAAACACACTGATAACACTTAATTAAACTATACACCAGAACTAAGAGGAGAAGTTGTGTTCATTCGTCTATAGGAAGAAAGATTATATAAAACTAATATGTTATTTGAACTAATTAATATGATATTGTGTTAATACTAGTACTCTTTCCTAAAAATATGTCATATAACATTCTACCAGATATATAAAACATAATATGTTTTATATATCTGAATCATATTATATATATTATATATTTATATACAAATGATTAGAAAGTTTCCTTGTCTACTTTTGTCAATGGAAAAATTGGACGAAATAAAGCACACTATTTTTTACTTTTGTTCCTGTTATTTAACAATAAAGTCATATGTTTTAATTATTATTTATTTATTATATTTCGTTACAGCTAAGTTACCAAAATCCTAATTATAACACTTAGTGAGAAGTATTAAGTAAAACTTTAAATATATAGTACATATACGAAGTTTGTAGATATTTTTAAGTTGCAATATTCTTTTTTATATGAAACAAAAAACTTTGTTTTAAAAGAAAGTCTTGATAACTTAATGAGATCTCAGATTTTCGCGAGTACTCATTTAAATGAAACTAATATTTTTCGGATTTTACTTCGCGTTTTATTTTTGATTAGAAAACTACATACTCCCGACGTTTCGGCTACTTTTCAGCAACCGTGATCACGGGCAGACGAGATGTGTCTGTCAGTTGGTCTGGTCATTTTATCTCCTACCGCCATCGATTTCTTAATTGTCTTGCGTACCGCTCTGGATGCCGGCAAAATGCGCTCACGGTGTCTCGAGGTCCTGCGGTGTGGTCACGGACATGGGATTTTATATTTTTAAGAAGAGGATCCCAGGTGTTTGATAGGTTCCAGCCATCTTCTCTATTGAAATTGGGGTGTTTTTTAATTTCAATAGCCTAAGATTAACCTTGGTATATATCTGTCTTCACGAGTGAGGATCTGTGGTTTATCAAATCTAATGTAATGGCCTGGTTTGTCCAATGCATGTTCGCACACTGCTGACTTCGACGCGCGCCTATTCCTGACGTCTGAAATGTGTTCCTTAACCCTTGTACCGATGCTTCTCTTTGTCTGTCCGATGTATGACAAGCCACAGTCACAATCAAGTTTATATACACCCGCTTGTTGTAAAGGAATGTTACTCTTGATTGGTCTCAAGAATTGGCTCACTTTCTTATGTGGTTTATAAATAGTCTTGATTGAAACCTTCTTCAAGATGTTGCCTATTTTGTCAGTAACTCCCTTTACATATGGTAGAATTGCAGGTTGTCGCTCAACTGTAGGTGGCTTCATTTGGTTCTTGCGATGCTGGCGAGGCACGGGCAGGCTGTTGATGGTCAGAGCAAGAGCACATGCTGCAGCTCGGCCTCTAAGTGGTCAGCATCACAAAGGTGTTGTGCTCTCTCTGTCTTGATAACTTTTTTTACATAATTCAGTGTTATTATAATTCCATTAACCACAAACATTATATAATTCTGTAATAAACTTCAATAAACCAAAAATAAACTTCAGAATTTTCATACTTCAGCTCCTCAACCTTTTCAGGGCTCATTATTTTCTAACGTCGGTTCACGAGGTTTTATTCAATATTAACTTTGGTACAATACAGATTTAAAATCATATAATACATATATTCTGAATTACAAAAATAACTGATAACTTATGTCATATACCTATAAAATTTTCTTGTATTCGTACATTTCAAAGAAATTCAACTAAAAGACTATTTCTTTTTTGAAAAAAAAACTCGTCTATGATTTCTTTGTTTGACTTAAAAAACTGAAAAATAGTACTAATCCACAAAAGAGAATTAATTTACAGCTATTTTGCTACACGTGTACTTAATATGCATACATCTACTTACTTGTATCTTTGTCTTCTATGAAATTCTAGATAAGATAAATAATCACCTTTAATCTTCATAAGAAAATTCAATTTATAACAGACATTTTAATCCATGTCAGGTTACTTTATGAAATTAATCTACCATTTTCATATCACTCCTAATTATGTAATCCTGTTAATTTCGAACGTCTTATTAATGAGATATTATATATGTATATTTATATATACAACTTGTTATATAAAATATATTTTCTCACAAAACCTAGGCTACAACAAACTTTATTTGCTTATAATATTTAATTTACACATAGTCAGAGTTTAGCAAATGTATATAGCAAATAATTTACAATCTATACCTGTATTAATCTACATACTTCATACAGGTATAGATTCCAAGAAAATATTTGGTAATAATCCTTTGTCAATTTAATTATGAGATTATGAACTCAGCATATTAATTGGTAAACTTTTTAAATATTATCTGAAAATATATATATTTATTTTTATTTCACTTTAGCACACATTTTAATAAAAAAGTTTTGCCAGATTCATGTTTTAGTACTCTCATTTCCCAATTTTTTCTAATTCTTGTAAAATAATTCAAAAAACAGTAACATTATATTTTTAGGCAGCGTTTTATACATATATTTAATTTGCCTTTCATTTTTTTCCAGGAGCTAGCTGCAGCAACACCAACGCAACGTAACTGGCGCGGTATTTTAATCGCGTTGCTGGTTATAGCAGCGGTGTTGGGGCTGATCGTGTTCAGCATAGCGCTGCTGACTCCGGCCGGTGATGATGGAAGAGGCAGAGGTAGAAGACCGACCCTCGCGGATATAATGACAGAACACTATAAGCCGTTTAATGGCACATGGCTATCAGGTAAGGATGAATGATTTTTAAAAACATGTCATATTTATTATATTAGAATAAGTTTATTATTATGATGGAAACCTTTGTTACTTCAGTAGTTATAAAATATTTAAAATATTATGACCTTAATAAATAATATATAAAAATCTTTTACAGCCATAGTTGTATTGATTGTACGTTTAGTGGCATTTATAAAATATATTTTTAGTATGATACGACTTTGGAAATCCTTTCTTAATCTTTGAATAAAATAACAGTTCATTTAATACGATTTTTTTATATCAATTACAGTTATTTTAATCTAACAATCGGCTCAACCGTTATTTCTTTTCTAACATTTATTGGCCACATTCAATGTTAAAGGGAACGTTAAGGAAGCATCTAAAATATAAATTGCTTGTCTTTAAATATTATATAGTAAAATTTACAAACTTTTATTTAATTAAAGCATAAAGCAAAACTGGCTCGATTACTGTATAAAGATATAAGACATGCTCCTTTTGAGTTAGTTACATTTATTCAGACTATACTCAGACATTGATAGCAATTTGTTACAGCTGATTAAGATTATCATAAAAGTATCTTAATCAGATGTTTACAATAAAAACGAAGTAAACCCGTCAGTCACACTATTGACTATGACTATAGACCTTGGTCCAAGCCCCGTATTATTCGTTTTCTCGGAAATTGAAGGAGTGAGATCCTAAATTATACAGGACCACAAACCTTTCACGTGAAAGGAAAGAAATGCAAAAGAACTGAAATAATTTATGTCAACCTGAGACCTGCTAATGGAAAATTGAGAGATTGCTTTTATTCAAAACGAAAGTTTTATACATAAGGAAAATTGTACAAATATTTTATCATTCATCTTAAATAAGACGTTGAAGTATCATGATACAGTTATTGTTGCGAGTTATAAATACAATTTAGTAATGTTATAAACATCTATATACATATCATTGAAATGTCTTTTTAATTATAGTTTAATGTTACTTTATATGACACACTTTGATAATTATAAATATATATACAGCATATGGAGAAAAAGTTTACAACTAATACTTCATTAGCGTTGCTAAGATTTTTTAACATCAACTTGAAGAGATTTTTATATCTAAACCTTTCAGTATTTTCCAAGGATAACTTTTTAAAGCAAAACACTGATGTAACTAGCAAAAAATATAATTTGGTTTGTATTCTTATATATATCTATATACCTCTTTTTTTCTTTTTTCCTTCTCTCATTTTATTGTACCTATGCCACATTTCTCTTCTCATTTCCTCTATCAAAAGGGTTTCTGGTAGAGATCTCTTTTAAGAGATAAGTTATCCTTTGTACATGACATTTCTTTTATAGTACTCTAATTGTAACTATTTTTTATGTTTGGTACATTAATAAATAAATAAATAATAAAAATTGTATATGTAAACATTACGTTTTTTTACTGTTTGTGTAAAACTTTTATTCTCTTTGCACTAATCCTAATAAAGAGCCAAAGAAAAAATATCCGCTAAACAAATAGTTCACGGTCATCACCGTAGAAGAGATTCTTAGGTCCCTTGCACTTTTGACCACATGCTTATTAGATCTGCTTTATAGTGATATAACTCTACATTAATAATGCTGCCACTGTTTATGACTCTTCTATTACATTTTTAATTTACAATATTAATTTCAGAAAAGACAGTTCCGAAACTAAATCATGGTGCAATTAAAATAAAATTCCGCATATTATTAAAAGATGAAAGAATTATGTATATATGTTCAGAAAAAAACAATTAAATAAACATGTTCATTTTGTAAACATTTAACTTAAGTTACAATTTACACTTTTTGAAACTGTAGTAAAAAAGTATTATATGTATAATAATTTAAAATGTTAACTAAAACTCACTTATTTAAATTATATATTGATTTAAATAAATTGATAATTTCAAATACTTATTAAAATCGAATTCAAATTATCATTCCTCTCCCGTTATTAAATTGTAAAACTGCAACGTTTTTTCTAAAAGAATTTCCCTTAGAAAAAACTGTGAAGATGTCTTAATGACTAACTGGATAACACAAGTTCGTTTCAGTTAACTCAAAACTACGTTTTCTTTTAACTGCATTTTTTCTTTTGTTAAAACACAGATACCTTTGAAAATGCAAATCTTCTAAGAAAGATAAAAACGGTAAATGTAATTGTTATAGTCGGATGCTTTGTAAAAGTTAATAAAATTAATTTAGAATAATTTCTGCCACAGTTATAAATGTATGTTTTGCATAAAGATTTTTTCTTTAGGTTTTAATTATTATGATTTCGGAATCACATTCCTTTGAAACCGATTTATACTCAACCAAAAATAAATTTCTAATGTCTTTAATAATATATTGTTATAATTGTTATTTATTTTTCTTACAAATTTATTAACTGTTGTAATTTTTTTTATATATGTCTCTGTCATCCCTCTAATCCTTATTTATTTACACATATAATTATTCTTAATACAGAATGATCAGAGAATTTTTATGATAACAATAATATTAATTAAGTAAGGGTTACTAATAAATCAGTCCCAAACATCTGTTACGTTGTTGTCTGTATATTATAAAGTTTTGTATTTAATTTATTATATATCAAGTGGCTTCATTATCAATAAAATATTTTTTAATGTTATAAATATAAATTCATGTCCTTAATGAGAGAGATATAGGAAAACACAAAGCATATAAAATAGTTAGAGGGTACAGAATTTAAAATTAAGTTAATACCTAATACCATATGAAACAAGGACAGACAAAAATCTAATATTTAATTATCTAATTGTGTAAGTAATATTAGTGTAAGTAAACAAAGTTTGACGACAATGATTAATATGTGAATTATATTATGTAACAATATTATAAGAGTTGCTCGGTGAACACTTTCATAACTGGTAAAGTTTCAGCTCGTCTGTTTCGCGTCATACATATATACACACTTTTGACTGTCTTTCAACGATAACTTTTTATATTATCAAGTTTTGAAACCCATTAACAAAAACTGATCGATTTCTTCATAAGCAAAATAACAATCGGAATTATCTGAAATTTAATTTTTTATATAATATTACTAATAATGACATAAACAGTATTATATACAGTAGTATTTTGATCTATTTTCTTACTTAAAAACTGTGCCAGCCAAGAGTTTCTCCTTGAATGTCTGTTAACGTGACGTTCAAAGAAAGAAATATTTGAAAGAAGTAAAAGAATACTCGCCCAGACTTACTTGAAAAATACGTCTTCATTCAGTTGGTTAGAATGAGAAATGGTAAAATTTACTTTGAAGATTAAAAATAACTTAGCTTTTGAAATAATATACTGTAAATTAAATGTAAGCGAGCTGGAGAAGTCATTTATATTTAGATAAACATTCTGGTTGTTTCTTTGGTATGACAGACCCAGACGGAAAACTTGTGTTACTGTCATTGTGAAATACATTTTCTCTTACATTTGTTTATATTGAGTAGATTTTCCATGTAGCAAGAACCTGAATGAGTTTTCTCATACAACTGTAACAGTAAATACATAAATAAAAATAAAGTAAACTATAATTTAACTCTCATTATCATGAAGACTTTCTTGTCTTATGTATGTCTTTAAGACGGACGACCTCTTGTGAGAACTAAATTTTCTTTAAAACTAAGTGTTTTTTTCTGTTTCAACAAAAGATAATATTTTTCTTTTTTAAAAATCATTTGTCGCACTATATATTTCTCTAAGAAAACATAATGTTATTTATAATAACAAAACATTCGTCGTAAAAGAATTTCCGAGTCATATTTTTTTAATATAATAACGATATGGTCTAGCAATAAAAATAGAAAAACCATTAAAAAAATCATACGAAGGCCGAACCATACTTTGGATTTGATCCAAAGGGTTTGTTCATTTTATAAGCCTTCATAACCTTCAATAGACCCTTCACAATCCGATTTCATTTTTATATATTTAAAGAACGTTTCTTATTTTTCTTCCTCTTAACCCATCGTTTATTTTCGTTATATTAATCTCTTTCCCGTTATATTAGATAATAAGATGGCAGACCCTGGCTAAAGCTGGGAAATTGCCAGGAAGAAGATATTAGATAATGTAATTGTTTTTTTGTTACCACATAACATAAAAGAGTCATACAATTAGAAAAATATTCTTAAATAAATGTTTAATAATGGTTTTAGTTTAAGATTCAATAAAAACTAAATCATTTTTATATATTACTACTACTATAAAATTAATATTTCATTTATGAATACAAAGAAAGCACTAGTTATACTATCCAGTATGGACTTTTTTTAATTCTTTAATAACAAAGTTTTACCTAAACATCTGACGAACAGAAATTTTCATACTTTTGTTTGTAGTGACTCATTTCAATTACTTCATCCGTCATTCTTTCATTTCTCTTTTCACAACGACTAACTCACAAAAGCGAAATTTCATTATTGGCACGTTACTTAGAACCAGAATTTTTATTTTAAATAATTAGTTTGTTCTGAAATGCATACATATACATATATTTAAATCTAGCTTCACGTTACCATTTAAATAGTTTCAGCGCTTTTGTAAAAGGTTGTTAAGAGGATTTGCGTAGCCGCTTTTACTGATATATATATATATATATATATATATATATATATATATATATATATATATATATATATACGTTAGTTTTAAAAATATACTAGAGGATGAGAGATTATGACGTAATCTACTCTTTATATGCTACGGGATGAGAGATTATGATTTAATCTACTCTTTATATACTACTTTTATTTTATATTTAGTTTAGTAAAATAATAACGAAACCGAAGTTTTATTACTTTTTTATTCGCAAAGAAAGCAAACATAATGTTCTTTGGATTTATTTTTAGCATTGAAAAGATTGGAATGTCCTTACGTATTAATTTTATTTAACATTTTCAGCGAGAATTAAGTGCCATTCATGCTTTTGACTTTTCAGAAAACTATATCGAGAATA